TCACGTCCGGATGATTCTTCTTTGGGTGGATAATTTTTCAATGGCATATACCCTAGGGATGCTTTTTTAGGTGATACGTTGCCATAGTGTCCAAAAGTATGACGTCTTAATGTTTTTTTCGGTGTTGATGCCGAGGCTCCCATTTGAAAGCGCCCGACAATAGATACTTCCGTTTTTAGTCTTTCTATCTCGAGCAGATACTCTTGTTTGCTTTTATCCATCTCTTTTAGCTTAATTGCCTGCTTTTTGAGCCGAGTTTCGAGATCGCGAGTCAAGTTCTGATATCCTTGAAGTGTCTCTTCTGTAGCTGACAAGATGTTTACTTTCGTTTTATTTTTGACAGTTTTAGTGCTTTGGGCGAATTCTGGTGTAGATCTAGTCTCCTCCTCTGCAGCTAAAGTAACATTCCCGATAATCAATGATTTGGCATTACCGCCAAGAGCCTGTGAGAGCAGTCTAGTCAATTTCGAATCGCGATAACTGATAAACTCCTTCCCCTCGCTTAGTTGCCTTATCACATTTCCTAATACTGACAAAGATTTGTTTATGTTAGCCCCCTCTTTAAGACGCTCACCAGCAGCTTTCGTCAGAGAAACTCTCTCAGAACCAGCTAAGTCCATTAAGTTAAGGTAGCTTATATGTACAGGTCCATCTTTCTGATTGGCATCTTTCGACTCCAGAATAATCCGGAAAATCGTGTGTGATCGAGATGACCTCTCATTCATGCGAGTAGCTGCAACTCGTCTGATCTTATTGCCCTGCATCATGTTCTCCATAACTTTATCAACATTGTCTACGACAGCTTCCCTTGCATCAAGCAGCACATTTCCTTTGATATCTTCCTTATAGTTAAACCCTGATTGCTCTTATCCAGGAGGTCATTGATCTTTTCATTGTAGATTTCAATATAACTGCATCTAATCAAGTACCTCTTATCAACCTGGTCTGCCACATGCTGGAATAACTGATTGGATACTAATTGGAAAAGCCCAGGATCTGTTTTATTGCCCAAAATGGTGTGTGTTTTGCCAGAAGATGTTTGGCCATATGCAAATATTGTGGCATTGAAACCTTCCATGAAGGAATCGACTAAAGGTTTTACTACAGATCCATATACATCTGAATTTGTACATTCCTGCTTAAATACATGGTCGAATATATAAACCTCTCCATGGCGACTACTTTCATCGGCTTCCCATATGCAGTTTACTCTTACGTTCCAAAGACGCTCTAGACCATCGGCTACTTCGCGGTGGATCATTGGTCTGATCTTTGTGGCTACTTTAATATTGTCGGAAGTCATTTTGGAAGCTTGAACTGAAATTTAATTAGAACTAGGGCTATTTCACGGGTTATAAAGAGGGGCACTTTTCATAATCCAGATTTCGTTTTGGCATTCCAGTTCAGCCATTTGATCCTGAAGCTCTTTTATAGTAGAATCATTATGGCATCGTATATCTGAGATTTTAAATGAGTGGTTGACCTCACGTTGGTTACTCTCGTCCATCAGACTCTTTACGTCATTTCTCAGTTTAGATTCAAGTTCTTTTAGGAAGCCAATTTCATCTTGCAGTTCAGCAATGTGTGACATCGTTACATCAGTTTGTGTAGCAGCACTTAAAGAATCTTGCATATCTTCGTACTCAGCGTCAAGCATAGCTTCTAAGTCTGCAACCTTCTTTTTTGACTCAATATTTTGAGCTTCAAGAGATGGTTTAGGGCTCTCTGATCTTCCTAGGTTCTTCAGTTGAGTACGCAGCATCTCTATTTCTGACTCGTATGTTTTTAGTCTTTTTATTATTTTTTTCCAGAAAATCGAGTCTGTATTGCAAGTCGATGAAATTCTTGCGCTTTTTGAGAATTTTTTTGAACTCTTTCTATTTCTTCGTTGTACGCATCCGTTACTTGGCGGAGTTCCTGACTGTAACGATCGATTTTAGAATTGGCTTCTGTGAGCTGTTTCTTCAGGTCCAAAATCTCCAGCTGATTATCTAGTTTAGTGAATTCTCTAAGCTCATTGAAAGATTCTTCCAGTTCTTTGCGTTGTCTTTTAAGTACACTTGCACGTCTTCAGCTATCACAGATTCTGCTTCGGCTAGTGCCTCCTCATATGTCTCTTCTTGAATAGGCCTCATTTCACGTCCGGATGATTCTTCTTTGGGTGGATAATTTTTCAATGGCATATACCCTAGGGATGCTTTTTTAGGTGATACGTTGCCATAGTGTCCAAAAGTATGACGTCTTAATGTTTTTTTCGGTGTTGATGCCGAGGCTCCCATTTGAAAGCGCCCGACAATAGATACTTCCGTTTTTAGTCTTTCTATCTCGAGCAGATACTCTTGTTTGCTTTTATCCATCTCTTTTAGCTTAATTGCCTGCTTTTTGAGCCGAGTTTCGAGATCGCGAGTCAAGTTCTGATATCCTTGAAGTGTCTCTTCTGTAGCTGACAAGATGTTTACTTTCGTTTTATTTTTGACAGTTTTAGTGCTTTGGGCGAATTCTGGTGTAGATCTAGTCTCCTCCTCTGCAGCTAAAGTAACATTCCCGATAATCAATGATTTGGCATTACCGCCAAGAGCCTGTGAGAGCAGTCTAGTCAATTTCGAATCGCGATAACTGATAAACTCCTTCCCCTCGCTTAGTTGCCTTATCACATTTCCTAATACTGACAAAGATTTGTTTATGTTAGCCCCCTCTTTAAGACGCTCACCAGCAGCTTTCGTCAGAGAAACTCTCTCAGAACCAGCTAAGTCCATTAAGTTAAGGTAGCTTATATGTACAGGTCCATCTTTCTGATTGGCATCTTTCGACTCCAGAATAATCCGGAAAATCGTGTGTGATCGAGATGACCTCTCATTCATGCGAGTAGCTGCAACTCGTCTGATCTTATTGCCCTGCATCATGTTCTCCATAACTTTATCAACATTGTCTACGACAGCTTCCCTTGCATCAAGCAGCACATTTCCTTTGATATCTTCTCATAGTTAAACCCTGATTGCTCTTATCCAGGAGGTCATTGATCTTTTCATTGTAGATTTCAATATAACTGCATCTAATCAAGTACCTCTTATCAACCTGGTCTGCCACATGCTGGAATAACTGATTGGATACTAATTGGAAAAGCCCAGGATCTGTTTTATTGCCCAAAATGGTGTGTGTTTTGCCAGAAGATGTTTGGCCATATGCAAATATTGTGGCATTGAAACCTTCCATGAAGGAATCGACTAAAGGTTTTACTACAGATCCATATACATCTGAATTTGTACATTCCTGATTAAATACATGGTCGAATATATAAACCTCTCCATGGCGACTACTTTCATCGGCTTCCCATATGCAGTTTACTCTTACGTTCCAAAGACGCTCTAGACCATCGGCTACTTCGCGGTGGATCATTGGTCTGATCTTTGTGGCTACTTTAATATTGTTGGAAGTCATTTTGGAAGCTTGAACTGAAATTTAATTAGAACTAGGGCTATTTCACGGGTTATAAAGAGGGGCAGATGTATCAGGTTGATACATTCTTTTTTTCCTCCTTTCCAGTATAGAAGATTTTTTTCTCTTGTAGGCTATGAATGCGGTCCGATAGTTTAGTAGAGCTACATTTACAGGGTGACTCAAAATCAAAGAAGAAACAGAATTGTTAAATTTCATATAGACTGTTATTGTTATTACAAAAAGAAGTTGAAGCAGCAGCAAATTCTCACAAATCTATAGATCCATCACTTTCAGCACCCGATTTTTCAACTTGAAAAATGCAGCTCGGTGAAGAATCACAAGGTAACTGTTGTCTATTCAGACAATACTCTTCTAAAAGCAACGCGAAGTTACCTAGTGCCTTACATGAATCGCCTTCATAATTCTTCATTATTGTCAATGGAAAACTGAAATTGTTGATTATTACAGTTTTTAATGCTTCAAATAAACAGATGGTGTTCGTGTTGGAAATCCCACGTCTAATCTCGCAAAACAGGTTATCCACCGGATCTTACTATCAACATCTGAAATGCCATTACTGTTTTTAGCCATGTGTACAACAGGTTTGTACGCATAAGACACTCTTACATGAAAACTGTTTATTGTCTAAAAACGAAAATACCCCATTGAAGATGAGTAATGCAATAAATAAATCCTCGAAACTTGAACTGTAATATGAACATAAAAAAACTAACAAAATGGGCCATTTAACAACATATTTGGTGTTGATATTCTACAACAAAAACAAATACTTTCTCGTATAAGGAAACATACAATAATTAACATTTATCACACTTTTCACGAAACAATGTAAGTGCGCTGTGACTTTACATACTTATTACAGATTGTAGAACATTTTTTTCATTGTGTATTGTCATGTAACACCTACGTCGTTTTTTTTCTTTAACAACTGCATCAGGATCGAGAACTCTGGGCTGAGAAGTAGACGGCTTACTTTATTCGTCGTTGGTAATTTAGGATTCTTTGCATGGCTGAACGAAGCTCCCTAGGAAGTCTTGGATCTGATAAACGTCCTCTCATACGAAGTTAAATTAGAGTTTGCCTCAGGGGAACAATAAAATTTCGTCGCCTAATGGAACTTTCAGTCCCAGACTGAAAAAAAAAGGAATTTACAGAAGCTGGTTGGATACCAAATAGCACAAGGCCATCTTCTCGTTCTCTAACCAGTATTGTAATTTACACACTTCCGATCTAATGCATTACCCCCCGCCTTCATAGTGTTATAAAAATAATATAGGATCTTATCAGGTTTCTTTGATTCCTCTACTATTTTGTTATCATGCTGCATAGATTGCTATACGAGAACATGTGTATTTGGTTTTGGAAGATACTACTCTAAGGCTGTACAACATAAACTTAGAAGTACCTGGCTGTGTTTCCTTCTTATTTGGAACTACATGTTGGGGTACTTGTTACTTATTTTTACGCTTCCTGCCGACATAGGTCAGTTGGTTGATGCGCAATTCTACATGTAATTCTACTGACGTGAACCAGTCATCTGCTGTGATATTTCTGTTCGTATAGACGAAAGCATTGAGCAGGTAGTGGTGAGTCTTTGCATCATCAGTCCATACTTATTCGGTTTAGTTTTCTTGTAGGCACAGGAAGGACATCGGCCCACGAGCATCTCGTATTTTGTAGGGGACTCACCCGAAATATAACAATTTCGACAGTTCTCTATGAGTGTCTCGAAAATTTCACGTATTTGGAGAAATTTATCGGCATTTCTCGAGTCACAGGGTTATTATTTTCCAAATTGGTTGCCACGGACTTTAGTTCAGGTAAATGCGTAATAATCGACCAGTTGCAGGCGCTCGTTTTGACCAATTGTACATGTTTTTTCCATAGGCATAGCGAGGTCGCCCATAGGAAGTTGTTCAGGTTGATCGATAGCAGCGTCGTCCTCGGCGTAGTCTATAGTGTATTGTTCATCCGTCAACAACGAAAAAATCCATTGTGAAGGAAGTTCAAATCGTACACGCAACTGACATCCTCGGATCAAATTTGACCGCAAAGTCAACAAACCAACAATTGTGATGTTTAAATTAAACTGTGGTTTGAGGTATACGTGCTCATACCGTATGAGAAGTCACGGGACCCCCACCACATAACTGAGAAAGCTCGAATCATCCGACGATATCATTAAAGGATTAATTTCTATATTCTTGAACGAATCTATAAAATCAAAGTGGCTGGGTTTCAATTTACATAGCTCTTTGTATGGTCTTGTTTGCTGATCAACATTATATGATTTCTAGACATGTTCAATCTGTGCAGCTTCTTCACTTTCATATTAATGTCAATAAGAGCATTTCATCCATTTTTGAATAAATGTGGTTCATCACAAATTGTAGAAATACTCTGAGCATTGACTATAAAATGGAATGGACTTGATCCGTGAGTATTCTCCGAGCAAATCGTCTCAAGTGCGTTTTTGATCGTTGCGCCCTGATTAGAAATAGTGCCAACAACGCACAAACCAAGTCGCTGCTAGTTTGTGATCACATGAACAATAATCGTTTTCAGATCTGGGATTCTTGTATCTTTTACTAGATAATAAGCCACAACCTGCTTATAATTTTTACGAATCCCTCTTATCATGGAAGTAAGGGCATGATTTCTGATAAATCACTTTTTCAGAGTTCTAGTTGATTTTGTTACCTCAGAATTCAAGATTTATTAGCTGAAAATTGTACACTGTGAGCACTGGGATCAGCCCTAAACTTTGTCCAAACCCTGCAATAATCGTAAACACTAACAAGGGTAGACATATTTCTAGTTTAACTGCCTGAAGATTTTCTCTATGGTTTATACGTAACTCTCCACCTATTATCTCATTTTTGTACATGTTCTGGGAGAACTCAACTTGCTCCCTATAAAATGCAACGTCTTCCTGCACAGGTGGTTCTGGTTAAGTGCCAGCCTGCTTCGGGTTTGTAATTAGTTGTTGCAATTTTCTGATTTCGTCGTCCTTTTTCATAATCCAGATTTCGTTTTGGCATTCCAGTTCAGCCATTTGATCCTGAAGCTCTTTTATAGTAGAATCATTATGGCATCGTATATCTGAGATTTTAAATGAGTGGTTGACCTCACGTTGGTTACTCTCGTCCATCAGACTCTTTACGTCATTTCTCAGTTTAGATTCAAGTTCTTTTAGGAAGCCAATTTCATCTTGCAGTTCAGCAATGTGTGACATCGTTACATCAGTTTGTGCAGCAGCACTTAAAGAATGTTGCATATCTTCGTACTCAGCGTCAAGCATAGCTTCTAAGTCTGCAACCTTCTTTTTTGACTCAATATTTTGAGCTTCAAGAGATGGTTTAGGGCTCTCTGATCTTCCTAGGTTCTTCAGTTGAGTACGCAGCATCTCTATTTCTGACTCGTATGTTTTTAGTCTTTTTATATTTTTTTCCAGAAAATCGAGTCTGTATTGCAAGTCGATGAAATTCTTGCGCTTTTTGAGAATTTTTTTGAACTCTTTCTATTTCTTCGTTGTACGCATCCGTTACTTGGCGGAGTTCCTGACTGTAACGATCGAATTTAGAATTGGCTTCTGTGAGCTGTTTCTTCAGGTCCAAAATCTCCAGCTGATTATCTAGTTTAGTGAATTCTCTAAGCTCATTGAAAGATTCTTCCAGTTCTTTGAGTTGTCTTTTAAGTACACTTGCACGTCTTCAGCTATCACAGATTCTGCTTCGGCTAGTGCCTCCTCATATGTCTCTTCTTGAATAGGCCTCATTTCACGTCCGGATGATTCTTCTTTGGGTGGATAATTTTTCAATGGCATATACCCTAGGGATGCTTTTTTAGGTGATACGTTGCCATAGTGTCCAAAAGTATGACGTCTTAATGTTTTTTTCGGTGTTGATGCCGAGGCTCCCATTTGAAAGCGCCCGACAATAGATACTTCCGTTTTTAGTCTTTCTATCTCGAGCAGATACTCTTGTTTGCTTTTATCCATCTCTTTTAGCTTAATTGCCTGCTTTTTGAGCCGAGTTTCGAGATCGCGAGTCAAGTTCTGATATCCTTGAAGTGTCTCTTCTGTAGCTGACAAGATGTTTACTTTCGTTTTATTTTTGACAGTTTTAGTGCTTTGGGCGAATTCTGGTGTAGATCTAGTCTCCTCCTCTGCAGCTAAAGTAACATTCCCGATAATCAATGATTTGGCATTACCGCCAAGAGCCTGTGAGAGCAGTCTAGTCAATTTCGAATCGCGATAACTGATAAACTCCTTCCCCTCGCTTAGTTGCCTTATCACATTTCCTAATACTGACAAAGATTTGTTTATGTTAGCCCCCTCTTTAAGACGCTCACCAGCAGCTTTCGTCAGAGAAACTCTCTCAGAACCAGCTAAGTCCATTAAGTTAAGGTAGCTTATATGTACAGGTCCATCTTTCTGATTGGCATCTTTCGACTCCAGAATAATCCGGAAAATCGTGTGTGATCGAGATGACCTCTCATTCATGCGAGTAGCTGCAACTCGTCTGATCTTATTGCCCTGCATCATGTTCTCCATAACTTTATCAACATTGTCTACGACAGCTTCCCTTGCATCAAGCAGCACATTTCCTTTGATATCTTCTCTTATAGTTAAACCCTGATTGCTCTTATCCAGGAGGTCATTGATCTTTTCATTGTAGATTTCAATATAACTGCATCTAATCAAGTACCTCTTATCAACCTGGTCTGCCACATGCTGGAATAACTGATTGGATACTAATTGGAAAAGCCCAGGATCTGTTTTATTGCCCAAAATGGTGTGTGTTTTGCCAGAAGATGTTTGGCCATATGCAAATATTGTGGCATTGAAACCTTCCATGAAGGAATCGACTAAAGGTTTTACTACAGATCCATATACATCTGAATTTGTACATTCCTGCTTAAATACATGGTCGAATATATAAACCTCTCCATGGCGACTACTTTCATCGGCTTCCCATATGCAGTTTACTCTTACGTTCCAAAGACGCTCTAGACCATCGGCTACTTCGCGGTGGATCATTGGTCTGATCTTTGTGGCTACTTTAATATTGTCGGAAGTCATTTTGGAAGCTTGAACTGAAATTTAATTAGAACTAGGGCTATTTCACGGGTTATAAAGAGGGGCACTTTTCATAATCCAGATTTCGTTTTGGCATTCCAGTTCAGCCATTTGATCCTGAAGCTCTTTTATAGTAGAATCATTATGGCATCGTATATCTGAGATTTTAAATGAGTGGTTGACCTCACGTTGGTTACTCTCGTCCATCAGACTCTTTACGTCATTTCTCAGTTTAGATTCAAGTTCTTTTAGGAAGCCAATTTCATCTTGCAGTTCAGCAATGTGTGACATCGTTACATCAGTTTGTGTAGCAGCACTTAAAGAATCTTGCATATCTTCGTACTCAGCGTCAAGCATAGCTTCTAAGTCTGCAACCTTCTTTTTTGACTCAATATTTTGAGCTTCAAGAGATGGTTTAGGGCTCTCTGATCTTCCTAGGTTCTTCAGTTGAGTACGCAGCATCTCTATTTCTGACTCGTATGTTTTTAGTCTTTTTATTTTTTTTCCAGAAAATCGAGTCTGTATTGCAAGTCGATGAAATTCTTGCGCTTTTTGAGAATTTTTTTGAACTCTTTCTATTTCTTCGTTGTACGCATCCGTTACTTGGCGGAGTTCCTGACTGTAACGATCGATTTTAGAATTGGCTTCTGTGAGCTGTTTCTTCAGGTCCAAAATCTCCAGCTGATTATCTAGTTTAGTGAATTCTCTAAGCTCATTGAAAGATTCTTCCAGTTCTTTGCGTTGTCTTTTAAGTACACTTGCACGTCTTCAGCTATCACAGATTCTGCTTCGGCTAGTGCCTCCTCATATGTCTCTTCTTGAATAGGCCTCATTTCACGTCCGGATGATTCTTCTTTGGGTGGATAATTTTTCAATGGCATATACCCTAGGGATGCTTTTTTAGGTGATACGTTGCCATAGTGTCCAAAAGTATGACGTCTTAATGTTTTTTTCGGTGTTGATGCCGAGGCTCCCATTTGAAAGCGCCCGACAATAGATACTTCCGTTTTTAGTCTTTCTATCTCGAGCAGATACTCTTGTTTGCTTTTATCCATCTCTTTTAGCTTAATTGCCTGCTTTTTGAGCCGAGTTTCGAGATCGCGAGTCAAGTTCTGATATCCTTGAAGTGTCTCTTCTGTAGCTGACAAGATGTTTACTTTCGTTTTATTTTGACAGTTTTAGTGCTTTGGGCGAATTCTGGTGTAGATCTAGTCTCCTCCTCTGCAGCTAAAGTAACATTCCCGATAATCAATGATTTGGCATTACCGCCAAGAGCCTGTGAGAGCAGTCTAGTCAATTTCGAATCGCGATAACTGATAAACTCCTTCCCCTCGCTTAGTTGCCTTATCACATTTCCTAATACTGACAAAGATTTGTTTATGTTAGCCCCCTCTTTAAGACGCTCACCAGCAGCTTTCGTCAGAGAAACTCTCTCAGAACCAGCTAAGTCCATTAAGTTAAGGTAGCTTATATGTACAGGTCCATCTTTCTGATTGGCATCTTTCGACTCCAGAATAATCCGGAAAATCGTGTGTGATCGAGATGACCTCTCATTCATGCGAGTAGCTGCAACTCGTCTGATCTTATTGCCCTGCATCATGTTCTCCATAACTTTATCAACATTGTCTACGACAGCTTCCCTTGCATCAAGCAGCACATTTCCTTTGATATCTTCTCTTATAGTTAAACCCTGATTGCTCTTATCCAGGAGGTCATTGATCTTTTCATTGTAGATTTCAATATAACTGCATCTAATCAAGTACCTCTTATCAACCTGGTCTGCCACATGCTGGAATAACTGATTGGATACTAATTGGAAAAGCCCAGGATCTGTTTTATTGCCCAAAATGGTGTGTGTTTTGCCAGAAGATGTTTGGCCATATGCAAATATTGTGGCATTGAAACCTTCCATGAAGGAATCGACTAAAGGTTTTACTACAGATCCATATACATCTGAATTTGTACATTCCTGCTTAAATACATGGTCGAATATATAAACCTCTCCATGGCGACTACTTTCATCGGCTTCCCATATGCAGTTTACTCTTACGTTCCAAAGACGCTCTAGACCATCGGCTACTTCGCGGTGGATCATTGGTCTGATCTTTGTGGCTACTTTAATATTGTCGGAAGTCATTTTGGAAGCTTGAACTGAAATTTAATTAGAACTAGGGCTATTTCACGGGTTATAAAGAGGGGCACTTTTCATAATCCAGATTTCGTTTTGGCATTCCAGTTCAGCCATTTGATCCTGAAGCTCTTTTATAGTAGAATCATTATGGCATCGTATATCTGAGATTTTAAATGAGTGGTTGACCTCACGTTGGTTACTCTCGTCCATCAGACTCTTTACGTCATTTCTCAGTTTAGATTCAAGTTCTTTTAGGAAGCCAATTTCATCTTGCAGTTCAGCAATGTGTGACATCGTTACATCAGTTTGTGCAGCAGCACTTAAAGAATCTTGCATATCTTCGTACTCAGCGTCAAGCATAGCTTCTAAGTCTGCAACCTTCTTTTTTGACTCAATATTTTGAGCTTCAAGAGATGGTTTAGGGCTCTCTGATCTTCCTAGGTTCTTCAGTTGAGTACGCAGCATCTCTATTTCTGACTCGTATGTTTTTAGTCTTTTTATTATTTTTTTCCAGAAAATCGAGTCTGTATTGCAAGTCGATGAAATTCTTGCGCTTTTTGAGAATTTTTTTGAACTCTTTCTATTTCTTCGTTGTACGCATCCGTTACTTGGCGGAGTTCCTGACTGTAACGATCGATTTTAGAATTGGCTTCTGTGAGCTGTTTCTTCAGGTCCAAAATCTCCAGCTGATTATCTAGTTTAGTGAATTCTCTAAGCTCATTGAAAGATTCTTCCAGTTCTTTGCGTTGTCTTTTAAGTACACTTGCACGTCTTCAGCTATCACAGATTCTGCTTCGGCTAGTGCCTCCTCATATGTCTCTTCTTGAATAGGCCTCATTTCACGTCCGGATGATTCTTCTTTGGGTGGATAATTTTTCAATGGCATATACCCTAGGGATGCTTTTTTAGGTGATACGTTGCCATAGTGTCCAAAAGTATGACGTCTTAATGTTTTTTTCGGTGTTGATGCCGAGGCTCCCATTTGAAAGCGCCCGACAATAGATACTTCCGTTTTTAGTCTTTCTATCTCGAGCAGATACTCTTGTTTGCTTTTATCCATCTCTTTTAGCTTAATTGCCTGCTTTTTGAGCCGAGTTTCGAGATCGCGAGTCAAGTTCTGATATCCTTGAAGTGTCTCTTCTGTAGCTGACAAGATGTTTACTTTCGTTTTATTTTTGACAGTTTTAGTGCTTTGGGCGAATTCTGGTGTAGATCTAGTCTCCTCCTCTGCAGCTAAAGTAACATTCCCGATAATCAATGATTTGGCATTACCGCCAAGAGCCTGTGAGAGCAGTCTAGTCAATTTCGAATCGCGATAACTGATAAACTCCTTCCCCTCGCTTAGTGCCTTATCACATTCCTAATACTGACAAAGATTTGTTATGTTAGCCCCCTCTTTAAGACGCTCACCAAGCAGCTTTCGTCAGAGAAACTCTCTCAGAACCAGCTAAGTCCATTAAGTTAAGGTAGCTTATATGTACAGGTCCATCTTTCTGATTGGCATCTTTCGACTCCAGAATAATCCGGAAAATCGTGTGTGATCGAGATGACCTCTCATTCATGCGAGTAGCTGCACTCGTCTGATCTTATTGCCCTGCATCATGTTCTCCATAACTTATCAACATTGTCTACGACAGCTTCCCTTGCATCAAGCAGCACATTTCCTTTGATATCTTCTCTTATAGTTAAACCCTGATTGCTCTTATCCAGGAGGTCATTGATCTTTTCATTGTAGATTTCAATATAACTGCATCTAATCAAGTACCTCTTATCAACCTGGTCTGCCACATGCTGGAATAACTGATTGGATACTAATTGGAAAGCCCAGGATCTGTTTTATTGCCCAAAATGTGTGTGTTTTGCCAGAAGATGTTTGGCCATATGCAAATATTGTGGCATTGAAACCTTCCATGAAGGAATCGACTAAAGGTTTTACTACAGATCCATATACATCTGAATTTGTACATTCCTGCTTAAATACATGGTCGAATATATAAACCTCTCCATGGCGAACTACTTTCATCGGCTTCCCATATGCAGTTTACTCTTACGTTCCAAAGACGCTCTAGACCATCGGCTACTTCGCGGTGGATCATTGGTCTGATATTTGTGGCTACTTTAATATTGTCGGGAAGTCATTTTGGAAGCTTGAACTGAAATTTAATTAGAACTAGGGCTATTTCACGGGTTATAAAGAGGGCACTTTTCATAATCCAGATTTCGTTTTGGCATTCCAGTTCAGCCATTTGATCCTGAAGCTCTTTTATAGTAGAATCATTATGGCATCGTATATCTGAGATTTTAAATGAGTGGTTGACCTCACGTTGGTTACTCTCGTCCATCAGACTCTTTACGTCATTTCTCAGTTTAGATTCAAGTTCTTTTAGGAAGCCAATTTCATCTTGCAGTTCAGCAATGTGTGACATCGTTACATCAGTTTGTGTAGCAGCACTTAAAGAATCTTGCATATCTTCGTACTCAGCGTCAAGCATAGCTTCTAAGTCTGCAACCTTCTTTTTTGACTCAATATTTTGAGCTTCAGAGATGGTTTAGGGCTCTCTGATCTTCCTAGGTTCTTCAGTTGAGTACGCAGCATCTCTATTTCTGACTCGTATGTTTTTAGTCTTTTTATTATTTTTTTCCAGAAAATCGAGTCTGTATTGCAAGTCGATGAAATAATCTTGCGCTTTTTGAGAATTTTTTGAACTCTTTCTATTTCTTCGTTGTACGCATCCGTTACTTGGCGGAGTTCCTTGACTGTAACGATCGATTTTAGAATTGGCTTCTGTGAGCTGTTTCTTCAGGTCCAAAATCTCCAGCTGATTATCTAGTTTAGGGAATTCTCTAAGCTCATTGAAAGATCTTCCAGTTCTTTGCGTTGTCTTTTAAGTACACTTGCACGTCTCAGCTATCACAGATTCTGCCTCGGCTAGTGCCTCCTCATATGTCTCTTCTTGAATAGGCCTCATTTCACGTCCGGATGATTCTTCTTTGGGTGGATAATTTTTCAATGGCATATACCCTAGGGATGCTTTTTTAGGTGATACGTTGCCATAGTGTCCAAAAGTATGACGTCTTAATGTTTTTTTCGCGTGTGATGCCGAGGCTCCCATTTGAAAGCGCCCGACAATAGATACTTCCGTTTTTAGTCTTTCTATCTCGAGCAGATACTCTTGTTTGCTTTTATCCATCTCTTTTAGCTTAATTGCCTGCTTTTTGAGCCGAGTTTCGAGATCGCGAGTCAAGTTCTGATATCCTTGAAGTGTCTCTTCTGTAGCTGACAAGATGTTTACTTTCGTTTTATTTTTGACAGTTTTAGTGCTTTGGGCGAATTCTGGTGTAGATCTAGTCTCCTCCTCTGCAGCTAAAGTAACATTCCCGATAATCAATGATTTGGCATTACCGCAAGAGCCTGTGAGAGCAGTCTAGTCAATTTCGAATCGCGATAACTGATAAACTCCTTCCCCTCGCTTAGTTGCCTTATCACATTTCCTAATACTGACAAAGATTTGTTTATGTTAGCCCCCTCTTTAAGACGCTCACCAGCAGCTTTCGTCAGAGAAACTCTCTCAGAACCAGCTAAGTCCATTAAGTTAAGGTAGCTTATATGTACAGGTCCATCTTTCTGATTGGCATCTTTCGACTCCAGAATAATCCGGAAAATCGTGTGTGATCGAGATGACCTCTCATTCATGCGAGTAGCTGCAACTCGTCTGATCTTATTGCCCTGCATCATGTTCTCCATAACTTTATCAACATTGTCTACGACAGCTTCCCTTGCATCAAGCAGCACATTTCCTTTGATATCTTCTCATAGTTAAACCCTGATTGCTCTTATCCAGGAGGTCATTGATCTTTTCATTGTAGATTTCAATATAACTGCATCTAATCAAGTACCTCTTATCAACCTGGTCTGCCACATGCTGGAATAACTGATTGGATACTAATTGGAAAAGCCCAGGATCTGTTTTATTGCCCAAAATGGTGTGTGTTTTGCCAGAAGATGTTTGGCCATATGCAAATATTGTGGCATTGAAACCTTCCATGAAGGAATCGACTAAAGGTTTTACTACAGATCCATATACATCTGAATTTGTACATTCCTGATTAAATACATGGTCGAATATATAAACCTCTCCATGGCGACTACTTTCATCGGCTTCCATATGCCGTTTACTCTTACGTTCCAAAGACGCTCTAGACCATCGGCTACTTCGCGGTGGATCATTGGTCTGATCTTTGTGGCTACTTTAATATTGTTGGAAGTCATTTTGGAAGCTTGAACTGAAATTTAATTAGAACTAGGGCTATTTCACGGGTTATAAAGAGGGGCAGATGTATCAGGTTGATACATTTCTTTTTTCCTCCTTTCCAGTATAGAAGATTTTTTTCTCTTGTAGGCTATGAATGCGGTCCGATAGTTTAGTAGAGCTACATTTACAGGGTGACTCAAAATCAAAGAAGAAACAGAATTGTTAAATATTCATATAGACTGTTATTGTTATACAAAAAGAAGTTGAAGCAGCAGCAAATTCTCACAAATCTATAGATCCATCACTTTCAGCACCCGATTTTTCACTTGAAAAATGCAGCTCGGTGAAGAATCACAAGGTAACTGTTGTCTATTCAGACAATACTCTTCTAAAGCAACGCGAAGTTACCTAGTGCCTTACATGAATCGCCTTCATAATTCTTCATTATTGTCAATGGAAAACTGAAATTGTTGATTATTACAGTTTTTAATGCTTCAAATAAAACAGATGGTGTTCGTGTTGGAAATCCCACATCTAATCTCGCAAAACAGGTTATCCACCGGATCTTACTATCAACATCTGAAATGCCATTACTGTTTTTAGCCATGTGTACAACAGGTTTGTACGCATAAGACACTCTTACATGAAAACTGTTTATTGTCTAAAAACGAAAATACCCCATTGAAGATGAGTAATGCAATAAATATAATCCTCGAAACTTGAACTGTAATATGAACATAAAAAACTAACAAATTGGGCCATTAACACATATTTGGTGTTGATATTCTACAACAAAAACAAATACTTTCTCGTATAAGGAAACATACAATAATTAACATTTATCACTTTTCACGAAACAATGTAAGTGCGCTGTGACTTTACATACTTATTACAGATTGTAGAACATTTTTTTCATTGTGTATTGTCATGTAACACCTACGTCGTTTTTTTCTTTAACAACTGCATCAGGATCGAGAACTCTGGGCTGAGAAGTAGACGGCTTACTTTATTCGTCGTTGGTAATTTAGGATTCTTTGCATGGCTGAACGAAGCTCCCTAGGAAGTCTTGGATCTGATTAAACGTCCTCTCATACGAAGTTAAATTAGAGTTTGCCTCAGGGGAACAATAAAATTTCGTCGCCTAATGGAACTTTCAGTCCAGACTGAAAAAAAAAGGAATTTACAGAAGCTGGTTGGATACCAAATAGCACAAGGCCATCTTCTCGTTCTCTAACCAGTATTGTAATTTACACACTTCCGATCTAATGCATTACCCCCCGCCTTCATAGTGTTATAAAAATAATATAGGATCTTATCAGGTTTCTTTGATTCCTCTACTATTTTGTTATCATGCTGCATAGATTGCTATACGAGAACATGTGTATTTGGTTTTGGAAGATACTACTCTAAGGCTGTACAACATAAACTTAGAAGTACCTGGCTGTGTTCCTTCTTATTTGGAACTACATGTTGGGGGTACTTGTTACTTATTTTTACGCTTCCTGCCGACATAGGTCAGTTGGTTGATGCGCAATTCTACATGTAATTCTACTGACGTGAACCAGTCATCTGCTGTGATATTTCTGTTCGTATAGACGAAAGCATTGAGCAGGTAGTGGTGAGTCTTTGCATCATCAGTCCATACTTATTCGGTTTAGTTTTCTTGTAGGCACAGGAAGGACATCGGCCCACGAGCATCTCGTATTTTGTAGGGGACTCACCCGAAATATAACAATTTCGACAGTTCTCTATGAGTGTCTCGAAAATTTCACGTATTTGGAGAAATTTATCGGCATTTCTCGAGTCACAGGGTTATTATTTTCCAAATTGGTTGCCACGGACTTTAGTTCAGGTAAATGCGTAATAATCGACCAGTTGCAGGCGCTCGTTTTGACCAATTGTACATGTTTTTTCCATAGGCATAGCGAGGTCGCCCATAGGAAGTTGTTCAGGTTGATCGATAGCAGCGTCGTCCTCGGCGTAGTCTATAGTGTATTGTTCATCCGTCAACAACGAAAAAATCCAATTGTGAAGGAAGTTCAAATCGTACACGCAACTGACATCCTCGGATCAAATTTGACCGCAAGTCAACAAACCAACAATTGTGATGTGTTAAATTAAACTGTGGTTTGAGGTATACGTGCTCATACCGTATGAGGAAGTCACGGGACCCCCACCACCTAACTGAGAAATCTCGAATCATCCGACGATATCATTAAAGGATTAATTTCTATATTCTTGAACGAATCTATAAAATCAAAGTGGCTGGGTTTCAATTTACCTATAGCTCTTTGTATGGTCTTGTTTGCTGATCAACATTATATGATTTCTAGACATGTTCAATCTGTGCAGCTTCTTCACTTTCATATTAATGTCAATAAGAGCATTTCATCCATTTTTGAATAAATGTGGTTCATCACAAATTGTAGAAATACTCTGAGCATTGACTATAAAATGGAATGGACTTGATCCGTGAGTATTCTCCGAGCAAATCGTCTCAAGTGCGTTTTTGATCGTTGCGCCCTGATTAGAAATAGTGCCAACAACGCACAAACCAAGTCGCTGCTAGTTTGTGATCACATGAACAATAATCGTTTTCAGATCTGGGATTCTTGTATCTTTTACTAGATAATAAGCCACAACCTGCTTATAATTTTTACGAATCCCTCTTATCATGGAAGTAAGGGCATGATTTCTGATAAATCACTTTTTCAGAGTTCTAGTTGATTTTGTTACCTCAGAATTCAAGATTTATTAGCTGAAAATTGTACACTGTGAGCACTGGGATCAGCCCTAAACTTTGTCCAAACCCTGCAATAATCGTAAACACTAAACAAGGGTAGACATATTTCTAGTTTAACTGCCTGAAGATTTTCTCTATGGTTTATACGTAACTCTCCACCTATTATCTCATTTTTGTACATGTTCTGGGAGAACTCAACTTGCTCCCTATAAAATGCAACGTCTTCCTGCACAGGTGGTTCTGGTTAAGTGCCAGCCTGCTTCGGGTTTGTAATTAGTTGTTGCAATTTTCTGATTTCGTCGTCCTTTTTCATAATCCAGATTTCGTTTTGGCATTCCAGTTCAGCCATTTGATCCTGAAGCTCTTTTATAGTAGAATCATTATGGCATCGTATATCTGAGATTTTAAATGAGTGGTTGACCTCACGTTGGTTACTCTCGTCCATCAGACTCTTTACGTCATTTCTCAGTTTAGATTCAAGTTCTTTTAGGAAGCCAATTTCATCTTGCAGTTCAGCAATGTGTGACATCGTTACATCAGTTTGTGCAGCAGCACTTAAAGAATGTTGCATATCTTCGTACTCAGCGTCAAGCATAGCTTCTAAGTCTGCAACCTTCTTTTTTGACTCAATATTTTGAGCTTCAAGAGATGGTTTAGGGCTCTCTGATCTTCCTAGGTTCTTCAGTTGAGTACGCAGCATCTCTATTTCTGACTCGTATGTTTTTAGTCTTTTTATTATTTTTTTCCAGAAAATCGAGTCTGTATTGCAAGTCGATGAAATTCTTGCGCTTTTTGAGAATTTTTTTGAACTCTTTCTATTTCTTCGTTGTACGCATCCGTTACTTGGCGGAGTTCCTGACTGTAACGATCGAATTTAGAATTGGCTTCTGTGAGCTGTTTCTTCAGGTCCAAAATCTCCAGCTGATTATCTAGTTTAGTGAATTCTCTAAGCTCATTGAAAGATTCTTCCAGTTCTTTGAGTTGTCTTTTAAGTACACTTGCACGTCTTCAGCTATCACAGATTCTGCTTCGGCTAGTGCCTCCTCATATGTCTCTTCTTGAATAGGCCTCATTTCACGTCCGGATGATTCTTCTTTGGGTGGATAATTTTTCAATGGCATATACCCTAGGGATGCTTTTTTAGGTGATACGTTGCCATAGTGTCCAAAAGTATGACGTCTTAATGTTTTTTTCGGTGTTGATGCCGAGGCTCCCATTTGAAAGCGCCCGACAATAGATACTTCCGTTTTTAGTCTTTCTATCTCGAGCAGATACTCTTGTTTGCTTTTATCCATCTCTTTTAGCTTAATTGCCTGCTTTTTGAGCCGAGTTTCGAGATCGCGAGTCAAGTTCTGATATCCTTGAAGTGTCTCTTCTGTAGCTGACAAGATGTTTACTTTCGTTTTATTTTTGACAGTTTTAGTGCTTTGGGCGAATTCTGGTGTAGATCTAGTCTCCTCCTCTGCAGCTAAAGTAACATTCCCGATAATCAATGATTTGGCATTACCGCCAAGAGCCTGTGAGAGCAGTCTAGTCAATTTCGAATCGCGATAACTGATAAACTCCTTCCCCTCGCTTAGTTGCCTTATCACATTTCCTAATACTGACAAAGATTTGTTTATGTTAGCCCCCTCTTTAAGACGCTCACCAGCAGCTTTCGTCAGAGAAACTCTCTCAGAACCAGCTAAGTCCATTAAGTTAAGGTAGCTTATATGTACAGGTCCATCTTTCTGATTGGCATCTTTCGACTCCAGAATAATCCGGAAAATCGTGTGTGATCGAGATGACCTCTCATTCATGCGAGTAGCTGCAACTCGTCTGATCTTATTGCCCTGCATCATGTTCTCCATAACTTTATCAACATTGTCTACGACAGCTTCCCTTGCATCAAGCAGCACATTTCCTTTGATATCTTCTCTTATAGTTAAACCCTGATTGCTCTTATCCAGGAGGTCATTGATCTTTTCATTGTAGATTTCAATATAACTGCATCTAATCAAGTACCTCTTATCAACCTGGTCTGCCACATGCTGGAATAACTGATTGGATACTAATTGGAAAAGCCCAGGATCTGTTTTATTGCCCAAAATGGTGTGTGTTTTGCCAGAAGATGTTTGGCCATATGCAAATATTGTGGCATTGAAACCTTCCATGAAGGAATCGACTAAAGGTTTTACTACAGATCCATATACATCTGAATTTGTACATTCCTGCTTAAATACATGGTCGAATATATAAACCTCTCCATGGCGACTACTTTCATCGGCTTCCCATATGCAGTTTACTCTTACGTTCCAAAGACGCTCTAGACCATCGGCTACTTCGCGGTGGATCATTGGTCTGATCTTTGTGGCTACTTTAATATTGTCGGAAGTCATTTTGGAAGCTTGAACTGAAATTTAATTAGAACTAGGGCTATTTCACGGGTTATAAAGAGGGGCACTTTTCATAATCCAGATTTCGTTTTGGCATTCCAGTTCAGCCATTTGATCCTGAAGCTCTTTTATAGTAGAATCATTATGGCATCGTATATCTGAGATTTTAAATGAGTGGTTGACCTCACGTTGGTTACTCTCGTCCATCAGACTCTTTACGTCATTTCTCAGTTTAGATTCAAGTTCTTTTAGGA